CCATGGGCTCACACTGCAGAGACGTTTGGTCAGTTTTCATCGCGTTCCTCCTGCCATGTCACCAAATGACACGATGAGCATTTCAACTTTTACTGAGAACATTTTGACCCCATACCAAGTCTAACATCGTGTATGGCTAAACATGAAAGCTTATTATAACACCTGGGAGAACAGCCACACTGTTAATTTTGCTGGAAATAATTTGGACTGTCTTTAACTCTCAACTCTGTCTTTGTTTGCATTGGGACCTGAAGGAGCATCTGCACATGAAAAAGGCAAATGATGTCAGACTTAACGAGCAGATCATGTTGCAGATAATATCTGGGGTGTTCATATTAACTGTCACCATCATAAATTAAACCTTGCGCGCTAAAAGAACCCCAAAGTGCTTCAGACTGCTGTGAGTACTGTCACAAACAAAAAAGTACTGCCCCTCAGCTGGCTTCCTGAAGCTAGCAAATGAAGTAAGGTTTGTTTCAGAGTGTGAGAGTTTTGATCTGAACTGCAGAGGTGGATGTGAGCAGAGCAGGTCTGTGTATTTAAAGTTCTCATATGTTTTGTGTGTTTGTGTTTCAGGCCTGACAGACTGGGAGGACGACGAGATCCTGGCGTCGGTGCTGGCGGTGTCTCAGCAGGAGTACCTGGACAAAATCAAGCACCAGAGCGCCGCCATGCATCGAGAGAGAGAGCCATCACCCGACAGCAGCTGATAACTGGCCCAATACGCACAAAACAAAACAAAAAAACGCGCACACACAACAACAATGACCCTTCAACCCCAGCATCCCAACCCCACCATTACTCTCCTGCCCCTCCCCCACTTCACCTCTGACCCACTGAAGGAGCTCCACCAGGGAAAAAATAAAACATCCAACAATGATGCACTTTTTTTTTTTTTTGGTTCCTCATCGGCTCATATCTCTCTGTTTCCACTCCGTCGACTCTCTTCCCTGCTTCCCATCTCACTTCCTCTTCCTTGCCTCTTTTTTTTTTTTTCTGTCTTTTCGTTTCCTGGTTACCACTCGGACGGAGCTCGGTCTTAACGCTGACTCGGCGTCAGCTGTAATTTGTACTTTTTGACATTTAAACATCGTTCTGGGCAGCTTTGAATTTTAATCCTCGTGTTTAGGGATGTACTGAAATATTGGCGGGAGATCTGCATCGCCTGCTGCCGACCTTACTGACTGCCGTTTGACGGCTTTCAGCGACGACAGCGGCAGACGTTTGCGCATTTGTTTCACTTCAGTTTCGTCCGGGCTAAATGTATAAAAAGTAGTGATATGAAGAGCTGAAAGACTTTAAGTTTTGATTCAGTGAGTTTTTTGTTGTTTTTATACAATGAAGGTTCCTTTGCATAAATAAAATAAAATAATTAATAAAAAACTTAAATAAACAAACATTGGTATCAGTATCAGCTGTAGGACAAATTGTACTTGTAAACATTGGCCCAGAATTTTGCAATCGGTACATTTCTACTTTTTGAAATCAGGCCGTTAGCTCTGCAGCTAACATCATCATTGGTTTGAATGAAGAACGCTAATCAGAAGTGGGGGGAAAAAAATGGCGGCCAGTTGGTTGTTTGTGCGTCAGGGTCCTGGAGGCTAACGCAATTACCTGAAGTCTTACACCACTAACAAGCTATATTTACAGTTAGCTTAATTAAAGAAGGTGTGTTTGTTAGCTTTTTTTTCCCTCCCCACTTATCGTAGCACACGTTATGCTAGTTAGAATTGTTTCTTTGGCCCTTTTGTTACTCATGCTGGTAGCCATTCTGCGTCAGGGAATGACTGCATTTTAAAACTTGATCATGCTAATCAGGATTGGAAATATTTAACAATGTTAAGGTTAAGTTAGCATGCTCGTCCGTGAGCAGGCTATCACTTGAAGTCTTACTGTTTTAAGGCTAGGTCATTAGCAGCGCTGCTAATAAACGGAGTCGCTGTTAGCTTAGCAATCAGTAGCAAAGTAGTAATTTTTCCTTCTGGCAGTTGTTTTGCGTGAAGATTGCTAGTCCCATAATCATTGTGTTTAGGCTAAGTTACCCAAAGTCTTTAGCGAGCAAGCTATCACACAAAAAAGTCTTATTATGTTTTAATGCTAGCTAAGCTTAGCTTGGCTGTAAAAAGCCAAACCAACCCTCCACCGCTACTGGCGGCCATTTTATGTCGACACATTTACTTTCTAAAACAGAAAAAGCGCCCCCAGCTTCACGGCCTGTAACATCCCCCCACAACCCATTCCTCTTTTTGTCTTTCTCCTCTTCCTCCTCTACCTTCATCATCATCATCGGACTTATTTAGCTGCATGTTTAATTGACCACGACCAATATCATCATAGAGAAAAGCGTAAAAAAAACAACAAAAAAAACAGAGAAAAATAGAGAGAATTGTCATACTTATCCTCTTAATGATTGATTACTGTTGTTATTATTAATAATATAAGTTTGTTTTATTTTATTTTCTCGTTTGGGATGAAAAAACTTTTTCTTGGAATAAAAAGAGGAAAATGTTTCTGAAAAAATGTGGTTTCTTTTTTCTTTTCCTTCTCCTTTTCACTAAAGTGTAGCCAAAGGCTACGTTCACACTGCAGGCGAAAGCGCATCAAATCTGACTTTTTTGACCCTATGCGACCCATATCCGATCATGGTGTGACAGTGTGAACGGCACAAATCCGATATTTTCAAATCTGATCTGGGTCAGTTTCGTATGTGGTACTGAATCCGATACATATCCGATGTTTTAGAAAGCGACTGCTGTTTGAATAGTCATGTCGCATTAAATCCGTCTTTTACGTCACCGACACAAGACAGACACCAATTATCAGCGCCCGAGAAGACATCGCGAACACTTCCTGGCCATCCAGTGAAAGTGTTGGGAAGACAACGTTGGAGAAATGCGAACATTTTCTTTGTACTGTATAATCTGCAGATTCTGACAGAAATTGCAACTATCCTTTGAAGCACCGCTCCTCTAAAACAGCAATAAGGATAACTATTAGGCCATATGTAAATAACGAAATAACTTTATAACTTAAAGCAAAAACGTAACGTCCGAAACAAGTCTTTATATTAAGGGTCATCAGTCATACAATGCTGTTTGGTCTGGGTCTAAACAGAGCGCGTTGTGTGGGACGTCTTCTTTTGCGCATGCGGGCCGGTTTGAGGGTTCACACTAGAGCGCGTTTGCTGTCACATTTTATTTGTAGTGTGAAGAAGCAGAGAAAAAAATCAGTTTTGATCAAAAAATCGGAATAGAGCACTAAGACCTGCAGAGTGAACGTAGCCTAAGTGATGGAGGTCATTCTATTATACGTATAAAAACACCAGAACGAGAGACAGGGTAATATACCGAAAGAGTGGAAAGATATCACAAGTTTGAATCCAGATGAGAAGTTGTGGTTTAATGATTCTGCGATGGACCTAAATTTACTCTTTACCCTGTAAAGAAGACACTTGATGACGTTGCCTACAGTTTTGACACATGACTTGTATATCAACAAAGACGTGGTTTGATGAAGTTCTGGGTTTTTCCAATTGTAGCTGTATTAAGTCGTGTAGGTAGAGGTCACCCTCACTAACTTCTGACACAAACCCGTTCCTTTTGTTCTGGACTGAAATATGACAGGAAGCATCAGTTCAGAAAAGAGAAACAACAGTTAACCTTGTCTCACAAACACAAAGTTAAACCAACAAAAAGCCAACACTATATTAGTGTGATTAACTAATGCAGCTTTCTCTCTGACCTCTGTGTTCCTCTCTGATTTACAAATGAAACAATGAGTTCCAGTAAGAATATGAATCATTGATGTTTAAGAGCAGTTGCTTCTGTTTGCTTTTTAGCACCTCAGAAACATGAGAAAGTTGGGGGGGGTGTCAGTCAGCATTTTGAGAAATTAACTCGAAATTTTAAGTTATAGATGGCAAAAAATAAAAATCAGTGGCGGAAGCAAGCTGCCATGGACTGGTGTTAGAGCTCGGCCATCATGTAACTACAGTGCTGAGTACTCATCCTCTGATGAGGGCCACAAAGTATTACTAGTGAAACTGAGGTTTGTGAACAAATTCATCAGATCACGACTTGGATGAAATCTTTTTCTGCATTAGCAGTGGAGTAAAATCTGCTTTGTCCTTCTTACAGTCCTGTGATCCATTATGATCCATTTTCACCAGTTAGCCAGAGAATGAGACGGTACTCAAAGAAAGGTCAGATATGGAAGAACAGCAAAACTTTTTATTTGAGGCAAAGCTTTCAGTAGCTTTTATTAAATTTGACTGGTGGTTGTAAACATGCATGCTACTGCTTTAAAATTACTAACTTCTCAATGCTTTCTGTGTTTACTTTTACCCCCCCCCCCCCCTTTACAGGTAATTGAACCAATAAAAAAAGTTGTTCTCTTTTAGTCCAAAGAAAACGGATTAAAACAATAAATCAGCTGTATTTACAGCACTTAGACAAACACACAGCACTTATAATAATAATAATAATAGTAATAAACTTAATAAGCATAAGAGCATGAGCACTATCAGCAGCAAAGGTGTTTTAAGCTTTTAAAAGAGGCGCAGGCAGCGTTTTTTATTTAAATGTGACAGTTTGTATGTTCCTGTAAACGCCAAATTAATTTGTAAAAAGCCCTGCAGGATGGTTTAAAGTCTAAGAAAGGTTTTAGCTTCGTGCTGGGGGAAAGTTTAAAACTTTTTAAAAATCTGACGTCAGTTAAATGATGGGATTACTTGATTCTGTGGTAAGAAGCTCAGGCTGAGCAGCTTCATTAGGTTCAGGGGCAGTCTGCGGTCCTCTCGGACGGATTCTTGGCACTCACTTGTCTTATTTTGACCTTCTCGTAATTATCGCTTTCACCGTTTAAAAATACCGCATTTATAATGAGGCGCGACCCCAGTCAGCAGGTAACAAAACTTCGTCACTTTGACAGAAGCTCAACAAAACGACTCTTTGAGGAACCGCTGGTTTCGGTGTGTGCGCGCGTGCGTGTCCCTGAGGGGAAACCGCCCCGCTCTTTCCCGTCAAGATATCAGCGCGCGCTTCCTCCGATAGTTCGTTGAAACACATTCTACGAATTCTTCTCGCGGGATTTGAATATTCATGAAGGCGCGACTTGAATGTAGCCGGTTCAAAACATTGAGCACACGGCTCCGCTGATTGACACGGCTGATTGGACAGTGAGGGCGTAGTGGGCGGGGCTGCGTTAGATAGCTTTAAATAAGGAACAAAACACTGTAGTAGAGCAGCGAAGGCGGTCAACAGAGATGGAGCGGGTTACCAGGGTTTTGACTCTTCTGTGAACGCGTTTCCACCGCATTAACCAGGAGTAAATATATTTAAAGGACTTTTTCTTTGACTTTTCTGGGATTTTAAAAGCATAACGCTTTAATCGGTTAAAGACGGAAACTCATCATTAAAAATCTGAAGAGCTATTCCGCCCACAGAAGAATGGACTTTTATTAACTTCAACTAGACGGAACACTTTATAAAATGCTGGATAAGAGAGCCATGGAGTTCGACTTGGAGGAAGAAGTCCGAGGAAAGAACGGTGAGAACTACAAGAAAGGTTATATGTGTGATTAAACATGTCAAATAAGGACGTGTAAACTGGTTTAATTTGCCTCCAAAACGCAGTAGCTGCTTTTGCACGCTGCAGCCAGACTGCATGTAAAAAAACAGCGATTTTAACAGCCCGCTCAGGGGCTGTGAAACGTTTAAAAAACGCTGAAATTTAAAAAGGGAAACCGTTAAAGGTGGTGCCTTTAAAATATTATATATTAAGTCCCGCTGGATTTGTTGGAGTGCATTGGTCCGACATTATAAACGATTATTTCGGTTATTTTAGTTTGAGAAACTGGAATATCAGACAGATATCAGAGTTGTAAATTAAAAATAATTGTGCGCAGTGACGTTTTTTCTGTACAACGGTAGAAATCTTAAGGTATTTTGAGTTTCTGTTGTCTTGTTGGGGGATGTACGGTCTGTAAGTGTGAGCCATGCACTGATGTGACCCTTGTGTTTTGGCCCTCAGTGAAGGAGCCCTTCCTCAGTCAGTATCGCTGCGGTCCTCTCCTCGGCAGCGGAGGTTTCGGCTCCGTGTTTTCAGGCCAGAGGCTCTCCGATGGACTACAGGTAAATAATACCCGCCTGTGTTTGTTCATTATAAGAGATGCGCCTTTTCTCCGTTATTATTGCTCGAGAATTCGATTTTTATTTAATATTTTACTCCTTTTTTGTCCATCCAGGTTGCCATTAAGCAAATTGCCGTTGACAGAGTTCAAAAGTGGACCAGACTGGTGAGTGATAATTTATTTTTAAACTAAATGTGTACCAAAACGCACGAGGTGTTTTGAGTGACGCCTGTAAACAAAGCTCAGATTGTTTAGCTCCGCCCTCTGCCGGTGGCTCAGGTGAACTGCAGCTGTGGGCGGTGGTTGGGAAATGTGTAACGTCACGGTTTGGTAAATGACACCTCAGGATTTCCCCACTATCACCACCACCTCTTTATTCATTATTATTCATTGCGAATTCATTTGGGTTTCCCCACCAAGGCAAAAAACACCTGAAGCCACCTGCAGGCGAGGATTCAGGGCACAAAAACACCAGGCTGGAGTTTCTGATTTTAAAACCCAAACGTGTGACTCAGAAAGTCCTGAAAACAGAGTCAGTTAATTTGCATACTAGTATCAGTCACTGTGATTTCCGCTATGACTCATTTAAAAACTAGAAATTAAAAAACAAAAACAAAAATTAGGACATGATCTACTTCTACTACTACAGATTATTTCTTTATAATTTATCAATCTTCCTCTTTCCTCCCCCCAGCCAGATGAGGTCAATCCTGTTCCGATGGAGATTGCTCTGCTGCAGCAGCTGTCAGAGGACGGAGGCCACCCTGGGGTCATCCGCATGCTGGACTGGTTCGAGGTGGAGGGGCGGGGCTTCCTGCTGGTGATGGAGAGGCCGCCGCACTGCCAGGATTTGTTCGACTTCATCACGGAGAGAGGAGCGCTGTCAGAAAGCCTCGCACTCAGGTTTGCGCTCCCGTCCGCCACCTTTGAATGATGCTACTGCGTTCTGCTGAGGTCACTGACATTTTCGCTAACGTCCTGGTTCTTTGTTCTTCCCGATAGGATTTTCCATCAGGTGGTCGAAGCGCTTCGATTCATTCACTCCCGCGGTGTCGTGCACCTGGACATCAAAGACGAGAACATAGTGATAGACACGAAAACGATGGATATCAAGATCATAGACTTCGGGTCGGGGGCGGTGCTTAAGGACACGCCGTACAGAGAGTTTCAAGGTACCCAGTCACTCTACACCCATAGCTTCTTCTCAACCTCCCCCTACAAAAGTTTCACGTTGTAACCCTCCTCGTCTCACTTCCTGCGTCCTTAGGAACTCGGGTCTACAGCCCCCCTGAGTGGATCGCATCGCAGTGCTACGAGGCCGTCCCCCTCACCGTCTGGTCTCTGGGGGTTCTGCTCTTTGACATGGTCTGCGGCGACATTCCCTTTGAGCACGACATGGAGATTTACAGAGCCTGCCCCAGTTTCACCAGGCGGGTGTCAAAAGGTGAGCATCAGGTTCTTCTCAACAGGAGTTTCCTCCTGACTGGGGTTCAGGGTCACATGACCCCCTCCTAAATATGTGGTCCAGTTTTTCACATCCTTTCTCTTTTGTTTTTCCCACCAGGATGCCAGTCTTTGATTCGCTGGTGTCTGTCCTTCCAGCCGGAGGATCGTCCCACTCTGGAGGAGATTCTGTCGCATCCCTGGATGAAGGCAGGAAATGACAAAGAGGAGGAGGAAGAGGAGAGGGGAGGCCTGCGTGAGGAGCACGGCTCCCTTCCCTGTCAATCCCTTTGAAGTGTCAGGACTCTGGACTGTTAAGGACTTTAGGATCGCCGATTGGGCGCGTTCCTGATCCGTTTCCTGTTTGTCACATTAAACCTGGCGGCACCTTCGTCTGGAAGTTATTTATCTCAGCTGGTTTGCCTATTTATTGATTATTTATTTTGGCCCAGGGTTTGTTCCAGCTGTTCCGGGACTGAAATTTAAAAGTTCGGACGGACAACCGGCTCCCCCTACAGGACGGGGGTCACATAAGTAATCACAACGGAGCTGCTACTGTGATGGAAGTTGCTGATCTGCAGCTCTTCTGATAATCTTTCGGGTTGTTTGAATCGACTCCGAGGACGACAAACACTGACTTTATTTATTTTATTATTTTTATTTTATTTTTATGTGCCACAGAAGAAATTCGACACAAACACCTGCTGTTACTTTACACCGTGAAGCTGAGTTTTTTGAGGTGATACTGCTTCACTTTAATCTTAACACTGTTTTCAAAGGAAATTCAGCCTCTTTATTTTAATTTTTTTTTTT